CAAGGCAAGTGGTCGGGTCCCCTCAGGACAAACCCCCTTCCAAGACTAAGACTCAAGGGAAATATACGCTCTGATTGGTGACCACATTCATTCCAGATAAGGGGAAGTGAGGGAATAACAGCAATGAAGCTGCGAGCTAACCCCTACAAAGTTCAATAGACTCCTATGAACCTGGATGGAGACCTGGTTGGCCAGCAGTGTGGTAAGACCTTGGGCCCAAGGTGGGGATTCTTGGGCCCAGAGTCAGTGACATAGTCACTGAGGACTAGAGTGGAGAGTGAATCATCCAGCTGATAAGAAGAGAGGGTATATTTATCAGAATGCCCACACTTGCAGATAATACCCACTTGACCTGGCTTCAGTGACTGGATGATCAGAGCTCAACTTGAAGAAGAAAGAAGAGGAAAAAAAGAGTAATCTGATAAAATTTGATGAACTTGACCTACACCTATGGATGAAGTAGCTCAAAAGAGGGAACAAATCTTTACAGCAAGGATTATTCCCACACCCTCCATACACAGAGTAGACAGGGATGGGCAATTTGGACATTGGCAACCCAAATTGGGGGGGCTACAAAAGAGAGAAGTGATTTGCTTACAAGCTTTCAAGAGGGAGCCTAGATCCAGAAGGTTTAGAGGAAGGTAGAATCTCCACTGAGTAGTATCCAATCTGTCTAGGTGGGGCTGATGAAAGGAATGCAGATGGGTTTCTTGTGATACAACAGTGAATACTTGTTATCAGGACTGATTGTGAGGGTTGGAAATGTAAAGGTAGACATATTGTAGTAAAGGAGGGGAGTGATTGACCTTACAGTCTAGGAGCGGAGGTCCCTGGGACCATCAAGGGAGAAGAGTGGAGAGCAAGACCCTACCCAGAGAAGGAGTGACGCAGAGACGATGATGTGGAGAGATGGAGCAGCTAGGGACTTTAGACCCAGAGAGGGAGAGGGGCTGATGACCGGGGGGCAGGCTTGCAGGGTATACCCTTTGGTTGGTTGATGATGCATGGAGGGGATTGTAACCATGGCAAAGAAATGATAATATAAGATAGGATGAATGTAAAGCTAATGTTCTCCCATGCAAACTATCACATAATTCACAATGAAACATTAAAAAAAAAAATCACATTATTCATTTTTTAGCTCCTTTCCTCAGTATTCTGAAATCATCAAGTTTATGTACCACATCCCTGATTTTATTTTTGTGTATTATAAATTCTCTTTAGTGCCTATAAATTAGATTTGCATTCTAATATTGCATTTTAAATTTCATATCATTTTTCCCCCATCATTCTCACTAATGTCTTTTCTTCATAGCCTGATCTTGGAGTCGTGAAGTGGCACTGTAGGATCAGCATTGGATTGCTAACCACAAGGGTGGTGGTTCAAAACCACCAGCCACTCTTTGGAAACCCTATGCAGGATTGCTATGAGTCAGAACTGAGTTGACGGCACTTAGCAATAACTTAAAAGAAAGCAGATCTTTAAAAGAGGCATTGGTTATAGCAAACATTTTTCATAGTCTCTAAGCTATTTTCAAAGCTTCATTTCTTCTAAGTATTTCCACTCTATTTGTTTCCAGTACTTTTTCTTAAGTCCCATGCATTCCTATTGTTTTATTGACTTGTCTTGGTAGTTTTTGTCTATCCACCTTTAAATGAAGTGACATCTATTCAGACTCCATGTCTGTGAACAAAGTGTGTGGATGGGCCTTTTTTAAAGCTCTCTAGTTGAGTGAAAGTCTTAGGTGTATGATTCCTTGCCCAATTCTCATTTATGAAATTCTCCTCTGCCTTCACCTGTCTCTGAAATTCCCAACTGACACTCCTATTAATGTCTTCTTTGTTTCCAATATTTTTATTTATGGGAAACAGGTATCTCAGGTGGTAATTTTCTACCTGGGATCAGATTGCTTGTCTACTTTCTGTCCTGTGACTTAGAAGTAGCCGCAGGTATGAGGAGCCAGCATTATGGTTTCCTAAAAGATTAAGGGTTTCTTGTTGGAGAACACCACAAAATAGAGGAACAAAGTTAGTTGAGATAACTGTTCCCTTCTTTCATGTGAAGAAAAATAAGATCACTGATTGAGATTTTCATTCCATTTACTCTAAAATACAAATACATATTATATATTTATAATTTGCAGGCTCAAGTTCACCCAGAGGTGCCTTGGAAGAAAGACCTTATCTACTTTGGGTAAATCAGCCATTGAAAATTCTGTGGAGCAATTCTACTCTATTTACTCAACAGCAACTGTTTTGGCTTGGTTGAATATTACATATACATACTATCTAAACTAAAATATGTATATATATATATATATATATTACTAAAAAAAGAAATCCTCCAAGTATTTTTCCTACTGCTAGTTGCCATTGTTGGTTTTCAGTGTTCTTTGGTTCCTATGTTGTTGAGGTCTTTATAGATATGTTATGGTTGGGTGAGAAAAAGTTGTAATAACTATACAGATGCATTTTATACCATAAAATTATTGCATACTATATTTTATTTAAAACTACCAAAATTTTATGAAGATTGCACTTTAACTCTTAATGTTATTCCAGATATAATAGTTTCCAAATAGACATGCAGAGAGAGGCACAGTAATAAAAAATGAGGTCATAAATTAGGCTGTAAGCAAGAAAACTATTTCTAAGAGTTCATTCAGTTGAAGTTTTTTACCTTTGAAGTTTTCTAGAACTTTTTTTATTCCTGCTTTTATAAAACATTTAACTATATAAAATTAATAATCTAAGATTTAATGTCAATAACTTACATATATACCACTAACTACATTATTAGTGTCATTAATTATATCTCTGGTTACAGTAGTTTCCTTTATCAAATAGTTGAAGTTTTTTAATAGCACATTTGACCATAAAATAATACATTCAGATGGCCACAATTAGCTACAGTCTATTTTCTATTAAAGTGTCATAAATTCTAAAATATATTTTTGTTAGATTTGTAAAACATGCACGTTCATCAAATTTTTTTCTCAAAGTCATGGCCAACTAGACAAGCCATAAAAGAGTGACTCTAAGCAGATTTACACCATAAGAGATCATAGAGATTAGCCAGTAATGATATAATGCCATATGTTTTATGGTATTTATGTTCAGTGTATTATGTAACATCTTACTTCAGCATTTATTTAAATCATTGGACAACAATGATTCTATTCTACCAGCTAAAAAAGAGTTCAGGGCTTCCCTTAAAAATATACATATCTAGATCATAGGGTTCATTCTGTAGACTCGATTCAAAAGCTTTTCTCAGAAAATGCTGTTCTTGGAATCACACCAAGCTGGTACAAATGCAGCTTTACAGGCACCACAGTAGACCTATGGAATCAGAATCTTTGGACATGGGTTAGAGATCTGCTCTTCTTTTAAACAAGTCCATTGGATAATACCTTGCCCACAAAAGTTTGAGATTCATTGTTCCAATGCACTAAAAAGAATACTGATAGTCTAAAAAATGAATCTCGGTTAACAAAGAAGGTTCTGATTTTGTTTTGCAATTCCATTGTCTTGGAACTTCAGAAGATCAAATTTCAGAAGTTCATCAGAATTTAGTTTATCTGAAAACGTTTGGTAAAAGAATTCCAAAGTTCTACTAACCCAAATTTCTGCTTAGATTAAGTAACATTATCAAGACAGCTTACCACGTGGAAATGCAGTGAACCATGTACAAAAAGCAATGTTTCCCCCTAAAGATTTCACTTGATCAACTGACACAAGACATATTCAGACTGCAGAATATAGCTCAAAAACCAGGGGGAAAACTACATTCAGATGCCAGGCATTTTGTTAATTCTCATGGTAGTTTTACTTTTCTACCTTTAATAAAATTCGATGACCTAGCCTTGAAACTCAATGGTAATTCACTTAGATGACATTGTTAAAAAATCATATGAGAGTGCTACCTCAGGCATACTATAAAGTTGTTTCCAATACCATAATCAAATAGCCAGACCTGATTCTGATGTAACCAGTCTTCCACATCAGGAATTTGAAATGAAATATTCTGCTGAGACAGCAACTAAACCGTTCATTGTAACAGTGAAAAACAGCCAATAGCAATTTGCTCATTACATTAAGACAATTCTCATAAAGCAAAGATTATAGCAATTTTAGATCTTCATTTGATATTCTTTAATATAATGTATACTTATTACCACATTTTTAACATAACTGTTTTCAGCTATTTGAATATTTAGTCCATTTAGATATAACCCAAGAATAGTTAACTATTTATTAAGGACTTTGTGTATATATGAGATAAATAAGGCTAAAAACAACTCTGCTTAAGTTTCAGTAAAACTACTACGATAAGAAGCACCTTAAACTATTTAAAAAGAGTAAATTATCATATACACAAATAATACTCAAAATTATGACGGAACTTTTTGAAAAATTTATTAAAACAATTAGAATTATTTTCTTACACATTTTTAAACTACGAAATCATCAAAAGTCAATTTCTATTTATATTTTCATAAAATAGAAGTCATCAACTACTAGGGTGAATTCTGTTTGTTTTAAATTCACCTATTTGTTAATGATGTCTCAGATTCCTGTTTGTCAGCTATAGACCACTGAGTAGACACTAGAATTCTGTCATTCATAATTGTGTAGTTACTGTCACTCTTTGGTGTCCGACCTGAATGGACAGAGATCTAAGGAGGAAGATAGAAAGACACCACAATTCAGAAGCAAACACAAGCACAGTACCTTGTACTATGAGGAACACTGAAGCAGTTGATGATCCTCCTTCACTGGAAGCCATACAGCGATACTCTCCAGCATCGTTGAATTTGACATTCCTGAGTTCCAAGGAGAGGTTAGCCAAGACCCGAATTCTCACTGGGTCTGCAAGTTTGATATCTCTGTCATTCTTCTGCCAGGTTAGATTGAAGTTCACTGCACTGACGACGAGACATGTCAAAACTGCTCTTTCTCCAGGAGTGATTGTAACATTATTAGGCACTTGGATGACAGGAGGGGGCTCTGTGTAAAACCAAAAGTTTTCAATCAAGAGATTCAAAAGCCAATTTGCTCACTTAACAGGTACTGTTTAAAAATGCAATGAGTATCTATTGAAAATTCAGCAAGAAATATACAGTACAATAAAAGTTATCAATTAATGCATATGCCTATGATCTCAAGAATATTGTCATCTAGTTAAAAGATGCATTCAAAATGTAGAGTACATTTATAAAAGCATACTCAAGTCCAAATCTATAAATTAGAGACATGTAAAAGTCAAAGAGACATGGTTTAAAAGATCTGACTAGACGGTTTAGGATTGTGGAATGAGGCAAAGTTTTCAATGAAGTTTAAAGAACATTGAATTTATGGAATTGAAAAAATATGTATCTATATACACACATATATTTAGTGTTTTAAAAAATAAATAACCTACAAAACAGAGTAGACATATCAAAGATATGTCAGTATCTATTACAAACTGGGTTAAAATTTCATTAATAAAACAAAGTACAACAGTAGAATAAAAACAACTGCTCCACCAGTTGGGATGGGTAACATAAAGGTGAAGTGAATAGTAGGGTTGGTCTGTTAAAAAAATCATATAAATAAAGACATATACACAAAACGTATTGTCATACATGTATATTTCAGAAGCTGTCACAAGCCAACTACTAATTAAACATGTAACCAACTTTCCAGATAGAATCACATATTGCTCTAGTTTGTTGTAAGGCCCAAATGCTTTGAAATGATCTTATGTGAGAAGCCACTATTGAGCAATAATACAGAAATACAAACTATGGTGATTTATGTTAACTGGAAATCCAGGAATCTGGTTTAGTTTAAATATAAAAGGGTATCAGAATATTAAAGATCAAAACTATCCTTCTATTTAAAATTATATATAAAAAATTGTACATAAATAAATGTAGATGAATATCACAAACCTAAAAGAAAGACTGGAAGTAAATACATCTAAACTGTACTGGTCATCCTTGAATGATAGAAATGTGTAATTTCCATATTTCTTTTATATTCCCCCTTGTTTTTGAAACTCTTTCCAAGGATTATAGTCTATTTAAAATGATTTTTTTTAAGCATACATCTTATAATTCTGCTATTTTTAAAATCTCATGACAATAATTGACGAATGAAATGAAAAAAAAAAAAAAAAAAAGATGACAAAGTAGAGAGGCCCTAGTGTGGCACTGTAGGATAAGCACTAGACTGCAAGGTCAGTTTGTACTACAAGGTTGGTAGTTCGAATCCACCAGCAGCTTCTCGTAAACCCTGTCCAGGGTCGCTATGAGTCAGAACTGACTTGATGGCTCTTAACAACGCTAGGGTTGCCAGATAAAATACAGAATCCTTGGTAAAATCTGAATCTCAGCAAAATCAAATCATATTTTAGTACAAGTATGTCTCATGCAGTCTTTGGGACACACTTTTATGAGCTTCAGATTTAAGTCAGCCTCTTTTTATTTGCTAAAAGTCATTTAAAATGTAGGTGCCCCTGACAGTGATTGTGTATGTATACATGGTCACACTGTGAAAATCTTGTGCACATTGCAAGATGTTATATATATTATTATTTCCCTTTTAAAATGAATTACACCCATGATTTTCAGAGCTATTTAGAAAATTATTTACCCTTATTACAGGAATATCATGGCTATTAGGTGTGTGCTTAGATCTCCTTTCAGGACCAACACATCCATTTCCCTAGTTGCCTGATGGTTGGTGATAGACTTACTCAAGATTATTCCCCCTTCCCAGGGCAACTCCCAAAGTAGTGATTGTTCAATTAATGAACAAAGTTCAGTTCTCTTGCCTTAATTCAGGGCCATCCCAACTCCAGAGCTCCATAGAATGGCTGAGGACCCTGTTGCAATGGCATCATTGTTCAACTTTTCCCACTTCCCTCACTCCCTTGCAGGTGCTTTGCCCCAGAGAATTCCCTAAAAACCCTCTCACATGCAAATCTGTGCATCAGAAATTACCTATCCAAATATAAATGCTAATAAGTAAAACGCCAGCCTTCCTCTAACATACCCGGGGAATAGAAATTTAAAAAAGAAATATAATGACATACAATCAATACAAGAGATTAAAAAATGTTATGCACACTGAAATATCTATGCAAGTGTGGAAAAAATAAAAACAAAATTGGTGGGTTTGAAGAAGGTAATGTTGAGGAACTACAGCAGTTTGACAAGATCAAGATTATAGACTCAGAAATAACTGGTGATGGAAGTTTAAGGGGCATCATTCCTCAGTGAAAGCATGGCAGAAGCAAGGAATAGGGGACCAAAGAAAGAGCCTTAAAACAGAGAGATGAAGCATGTGGAGCCTTGGAACATAAGGTAAAGGTCATCTGAGTGAGTCGGGAGGCATAGAATATACCGCTCACTATCTTTCCATCCAACTTGAAATGGGTCACTAGCCTGCTGTGCACTTTAGTTTCTTTAGTTATAAAATGATGAGGTGGCATATCATGATTTCTGGGTCATATCCTGTTCTAAAAGAATATCCTGTCATAATTTAAGAGAGTCTGTCACTCACATGCCTTTGACAAGTTAGTTTTTTTCTCTATTGAAATCTAGAATTTAGTATGCTCTGTATGTGTGTGTACATTGGAGAAGAGGTGCTGTGTAAATTTAAAAAAATCAATAAAAAGAGTAATATGACATTATTGTTGTTGTTGTTGCTAAGTATCATCAAGCCAGGTTTCTGGGAGTAGCTGGTAGGTGTGAATCGCCAAACTTGAGGTTAGCAGCCCAGTGTTTGTCCTTACAATGCCACATAAGATCTAACAATTCTGAGAATTCACACGTGATGCCAGTGATTTGATTAAGTAGTTTCAACAGGGAAGCAGGTACAGTTGCAAGGGAAAGTTATAATGGATGGTTAGACGCTGACAGGAGTCCTGGTGTGGTGCTGTAGGTTACTGCATTGGACTGCAAGGTTGGTTTGAACCACAAGGTCAGTGGTTCAAGCTCACCTGGCACTCCTTCGAAACCCTATACAGGGTCACTATGGAACGGGACTTACTCGATGGCACTAAACAACAATAAAAGCTGACAGTTCAGCCAAAGGTTAACCCAGAGGAAATTTCCACTCTCTCAAATCTAAAGGGGTACTGCTTCCTACTTTTGCTGCTATAGTCAATGTCATTATCATCAATGATTCTGGCACCTTCTTTCAAAATTGACTGAATAGGACATAATTTCTAAAAATCACCTTGAGCACAGTACAAATTCCTAGTTACGCCATTGCCTGGATGGCATGGATTCCTACGAATGGAACATGTGTAACACACATGGAAGTTACTGGCACCATAGGCCAAGTTTATAACCATTCTCAACAGTTCACAAGTTCTTACTGGCACTTCCCAGTTATTTCTGCAAGAAGTCTGAATCAACTCTCAAACCTTCTCCTTGTTATCCTTCCCTTAATTAATATTGCTAGGGGGAAAAAAAATTCAAGTGCTCAAGTGTTTGTTTTCCCAGAAGCTCAAGAATGTTGACACAATTCCAATGCTTTCCATAATTACTGAAGATATAAAAAAAAAAAAAAAGAATGAATAGTTTACGATGTATGTCAACTTGCTAAATTGAAAATATTTCCAAAGACAAGCTTTATTTTTCTAAGAATATGAGAGTGCAAATAATTTTACTGCAAGAAGATGCTGGCCCGATTTGCATACCTCTATTTTTAAAGTTCAGTCTGGATTTAGTGATACCAAAGATAACAAATTCTAGACTTATAAACTACCTTAAGATTATAAAACTTATTTTGTCTTAAACTGTCTCAAGAAAATGCATATCTACTCAAAGCAGACCCAAGCACTGAATACAGCAGTTACAGAAAAGCAATGGTATTAAGGTTAGAACGATGTTACTACTACACAACTCACAGCAACACTAGTTTACAAGGCAAGGAAAAATAATTCAGTCAAAACAAAATTTCCAATAAAGTTCTAGATCTATGCCAACTAAGGACTGAAATAATGATCATTGATACAAGTTCATGGTCTTTTCTTATTGTTGCTATTATCGTTGGTTTGAGTTCTGGTACAGTTGTTGTTGTTGTTGTTGTTAAGTGCCTTTGAGTCGGTTCCAACCCATAGCGACCCTGTACAGGGTTTCCGAGGGTGTAAATCCTTACGGGAGTAGAAAGCCTCATCTTTCTCCCGCGGAGCGGCTGGTACTTTCGAACTGCTGACCTGAAGGTTCGCAGCCCGATTCGTAACCACTACGCTACCAGAGCTGGTACAGTAGAAGAGAAAAATGTTTTTGTTTTTGTTTTGCTGTGTTGTGTTTTTTCAATTTAATGCACTTTATCTATCCTGGTGTGGCTCTGCAGGATAATGCACTGGATGGCATGGTCAGTGGTTCAAACCCACTAGCCACTCCTCAGAAACCCTATACAAGGTCACTATGGGTCGGAACAGAAACTCTGATAGTGTAGTGGTTATGAGTTGGGCTGCTAACCTCATAGTTAGCAGTTCGAAACTACCAGCAATTCCACACGAGAAAGGTGAGGCTTTCTGCTCCTGTAAAGATTTACAGCTTTATACAAGGTCACTATGAGTCAGAATCGACTTCATGGCACACCACTACCACCATGTGTCAGAAAAGACTTGATGGCACTTAACAACAACAACAGTAACAACAACATCTCACAAATGGAGTCCTGGTATGGCACTGGACAAGCACTGGACTGCTAACAGAAAGGTCAGAGGTTTAAACACACCAACTTATCCTCGGAAACCCTTACAGGGTCACTGTGAATAGAAACCTACCCCACATTGACAATACCAACCACCTCATAAATATCATGAGAATTCTTTCCCAATTAATCATAGGAAACATACAATCTGAATGTTACAATGCTTAACATTCCTTTCTTCCTTCTTAGTACTGACATCATAGTCATTGAGGCCTGGTGTTGCTAAAATCTGATCACTTTCATTAATGTCTTAATTTAGATGCCAAAACCCATTGAAGAAAACACTTTGCTCACTATTAATGTGGGACCAAGAAAGAAAAATTTATATGACAGTTTCACAAAAATGTATTAAGGCACTACTATCATCAAGTAGCTCTGGTAGCGTAGTGGTTATGAATCGGGCTGCGAGCCTCAAGGTCAGCAGTTCGAAACTACCAGCCGCTTCGCGGGAGAGAAATGAGGCAGTCTGCTCCCGTAAAGATTTACAGCCTCGGAAACCCTGTGTAGGGTGGCTATGAGTCGGAACCGACTCCACGGCACATAACAACAACAACAACAAATGGCAGTCCATGGTACTTTCAATATTCTGCATTAACACTATAATTCAAATACATCGATTCTTCTATGGTCTTCCTTATTCACTGTCAAAGTTTCACATGCATATGAGGTCATTGAAAATACCATGGTTTGGTCAGGCACATTTTGCACTAGAACACTTTAAAGAGGTCTTGTGTAGCAGATTTGCCTAATGCAATAGGTTATTTGATTTCTTGGCTGCTGCTTCCATGAGCATTGATTGTGAATCCAAACCAAATGAAGTCTTTGCCAATTTTAGTCTTTTCTCCATTTATCACGCATGCTGTTATCTATTGATCTAGTTGTGAGGATTTTTGTTTTCTTTACATAGAGGTGCAATCCATACTGAAGCCTTTGACCTTCATCAGTAAGTATTTCAAGTTTTCTTTGACTTCAGAAAGCAAGGTTGTGTCATCTGCATGTAGCAGGTTGTTAATGAGTCTTCCACCAATCCAGATGCAACATTCTTCTTCCTATAATTCAACTTCTCAGATTATTTGCTCAGCATACAGACTGAATACAAATGGTGAAAGGTTACAACCATAGACAACACCTTTCTTCATTTTAAACCATTCAGTATCCCATTGATCTATTCAAACAACTGCCTCTTAGTCTTTGTACAAGTTCCTCATGAGCACAACGAAATGTTCTGGGACACCCATTCTTCGCAGTGTTATTTAATGTTTGTTATGACACACATAGTTGTATGCTTTTCATAGTCAATAAAACACAAGTGAACATCTTTCTGGTATTCTCTGATTTCAGTCAAGATCCACCTGATGTCAGCAATGATACCCCTAGTTCAACCTCCCCTTACGAACTCCACTAGAATTTCTGACAGCTCCCTGCCAATGTACTGCTACAATATTTTTAAATTATCTTCAGAAAAATTTTACTTATATGTGATCTAAATCACATTGTTCAACGATTTCTGCATTCCACTGCGTCGCCTTTCTTTGGAATTGGCAAATATGAATATCTTCCAATCAGTTGGAATGTTCTATTCAGCTCTTTTACTTGCTCATTTCTTCTAGTTTCTTCAGCCTCTCTATGCTGTCATTCACATTTTTTGACAGGCAAGTGAGTGCCTCCAGTGCTGCATCAGTTAGTTGAAATATTTCAATTTGTATTCCATCAATTCCTGGAGCCTTGGTTTTCAACAGTGCCTTCAGTGCTGCTTGCATTTCTTCCTTCAGTGCCATTAGCACTTGAGCATGTGGTACCTCTTGAAACGATGGAACATTGACCAATGCTTTCTGGAAGAGTAACTCTGCGTATTCCTTCTAACTTCTTTTGATGGTCCCAGAGTCATTCAATGTTTTGACCCTAGAATCCTTCAATACTGCAACCTGAGACTTGATTTTCTTCTTCAGTTCTTTCAGCTTGAGAAATGCTGAGTGTGTTCTTCCCTTTTGGATATCTAATTCCAGATCTTAGCACATTTCATTATAATATTTGACTCTGTCTTCTTGAGTTGCCCTTTGAAATGTTCTGTTCAGCTCTTTTACTTTCTCATTTCTTGTAGTTTCTTCAGCCTCTCTATGCTCAAGAGTAAATTTCATAGTCTTTCTTGACATCCACTTTGGCCTTTTCCTTCTTTCTTATCTTTTTAATCACCTCTTGCTTTATTCATGTATGATATTCTTGATATCATCCCATGGCTTTTCTTGTCTTTGGTCATTAGTATCAAATGGCATCAAACCTATTCTTCAGATGGTTTGTGAATTCAAGTGGGATATACTTAAGGTCATATTTTGGTGCTAGTGTACTTGTTTTAATTTTCTTCAGTTTCAGCTTAAGTTGCATATGAGTAATTGATGGTCTGTTCCACAGTCAGCCCCTGGCCCTGTTTTGGCAGATGATACTGAGCTTCTCCACCATCTTTTTCCACAGATGCAGTCACTTTGATTCCTGTGCAGTGCATCTGATTAGGCCCAGGTGTACAGTCAGTCATTTTTTATGTTGTTGGAAAATGAGTAAGTAATTGATCTTGCAAAATTCTATCATGCAATCTCTAGCATCATTTCTATCACAACACCATGCTTTCTAATTACTGATACTTCCTCTTTGTTTTTAATTTTCACATGCCAAATACCAATAATTACCATTGTATTTTTTTTTTTTTTACCATTGTATCTTGACTGCACATTTGATTAATCTCAGATTGAAGAGATTGGTAAAATTCTTCAATTTCATTATCACTGGCTTTAGTAGTTGATGTATACATTTGAATAACAGTGGTATTAACTGGTATTCCTTGTAGACATATGTATACTAGTCTATCAAAGACAGTATTGTACTTCAGAAGAGATCTGGAAATGATCTTTTTGATGATGAACATGACACCATTCCTCTTCAATTTGTATTTCTCTGTGTAGTAAACCATAAGACTGTCTGATTCAAAAATGGCCAATACCTGTCAATTTCAATTGACAATGCTAGGCATATCAATCGTTATGCCTCACATTTCATTTTTGACAACTTCCAATTTTCATAGATTCTTACTTTGTACATTCCACATATTGATCATTAACAGATGCTAATAGATATTTCTTCTCATTTTCAGTTATATCTCACCAGAAAATATCTCAAAAATGTAACTCCATCCATGCCATTAAGGTCAATGCTACTTTGAGGACTTTAAGAAGCAGCTACTCCTCAGTGATATTTTGAGTCCCTTCTAACCTGTGGGGATCATCTGACATTGTTCCACTTCTATTCCTAAGATTTTCAGTGATTAACCTTTCAAAAGTTGTACACCTCTGCTTCTTCTTAGTCTGCCTTAGTATGGAAGTTCTGCTGAAGCTTGTCCACCATGGGTGACCCTGCTGGTAAGTAAAATACCAGTGGTATTGCTTCCAGCATCACAGCAACACACAAGCCACTACATTACAACAAGGTGACAAACACTTAATTGTTTCAATTCATTGAGGTACTATATACAACAAAACAAAAAACACGGCCCATTCATCACAATCATTGCTATGTGAGCCCAGTAAAACCAGTATATGATGAGTGATTCTATATGGCACGTTCTTTTCTTCATACTTTATGTATTAAATAATTTCATTTACACAGTTTCTCAGCAAAATAGAAAATGTTACTATTATCATTTTATAGAGAGAAAAAACAAGGCATTGAGTGACTGAGTGACCTATGGAAGGTCACGCAGCTGATATGTGGTAAAGCCATGAGGAGATCGTTTATAATCAAATAATCATAAAGAACCTTGTATACATGGAAACTGACTAGCAAAAATTCCATCTTAACAACTGCATGAATATGCAAGCAATACAAAGACATTATTGATATTTACCTGATACATCAAAGAAAGTCTGTGATCGTCCAGTCCCCGCATTGCTGATGGCAATGCACTCATAGGAGCCTTCATCAGACAAAGTGACTTGTTCAATATCCCAGTTCACACTGGTTGATTCTCTGTAGTAACAAAAGACAACCTTTAAGTTAATATAAAAAAGAAACAAGTTGAAAATAATGATTTTGCCATTTCTTTTGATGCATAAATTTATATGAATGATGCAAAGAATCTGAATAAATGAAACTGCAGAGTTCTTTATAACTTCAAAATATCCACACTTTTTATGCCATAATTAGGAATCTAAGTTTTTCTACTCTGCAAGAAACACACCAAAGAACAAATAAATGAAAGGGACTGGAAATTTCTTTAAAGAAATGTTTTCTGCTATATCAAAGGATAAGATGATAAAGTGGCAGAGAAATACTTCTTGCATCCTCTCTCATTCCCCTATCATTCCTAGTTTTGGGTCATGCTGTACAAGTCAAAGAAATTTAGTCAAGTGATTCATAAGTTCGAAAGGAAGAAAGAGAATTATTTATTCTAAGAAGATAATTTCCACTTAACTTTATTTATATATAATTTTTTTTGTTAAGCCATAGACCCTACACACACACATGCATTCAATGAAGAAAATAATAATTACTTTATTGTCAAGATCAGTATGTTAGAAAAATAATCTCTTGTATTGTGCATTTCTTCATTTAATATATATTTATTCTTTGTCCTTTAACACTGGTGAAATAAATGTTTTTCTCATTTTCTGGATGTGTCTACATAACAGATATTTAATTATTTAAGAGATTCAATCATCTACAAATTTTAATATCATGAATGTTCTAATTTTTCTTGTAATTATTTTAGCTGTTCATAATCTTGTTAGGAGCCCTGGTCTGGCACTGTAGGAAAAGTACTTACCTGCCAAACTCAAGGTTATAGATTCAAACCCACCAACTGCACTTCAGAAACCCTATACAGAGTTGCTATGAGTTTGAATCAACTCAACAGCACTTTAGCAAAAAACACAATCTTGTTAAACATTCATGATACAGATTATGTACAAAGTCCACTGCATAGTAAAGACATCTTCAACTGGAGTGTGAATGTAACATACTATATAATACTTCATAATGATAATTCCAGATCTCTCCTCACTCAAACAAACCACAGGAATCACCAAGTAACCATGAAGAATTTACTAGTCTTAATTTGGATTCAACATTGACTTAGGATGTGTGAAATGAAACTGATGTCATCATAATAATATCAAGAAACTAAACAAGATCACTAATTCCAGATGTTTTTGTAGCTAAGACTATTCACTTCAGTACTGAATTATACACTGGTTAAGGTTTCCTAATTTAATTCTGTGCATACTATATACATTATTATCACTTTCATAGGAAAATAAAATTTTACTTGACTCTATAGTGCTTTAATAATCTAAACTGTCTCTTGAAGGCTTACTAACAGTATGTGAAGTACAAGATTATGCCATCATGTGTTGTTGCTGTTAGGTGCCACTGAGTCAGTACTGACTCACAGCGACCTTATGCACAGTAGAACGAAACATGCTATCGTGTAGTTATTGATAAATTCCAAGAAGGCAGAAATTTGGAATACAGAAGTGGTTACTGTCCTCTGCAGTACCTACTTCAATACAGTGCATATATTGGTTATTGGTGGTTATGTGGTGTGGAGTCGGAACCGACTCATAGCGACCCTGTACAGGATTTCTGAGGCTGTAAATCTTTACGGGAAAGATTAATTCTGACCATCTGGTTTCTAAGGAGCATTCTGGCTGTACTACTTCCAACACAGATTCATTTATTCTCCTTGTAGACCATGGTACTGTTAATATTCTCCTCAAATATCATAACTCAAATACATCAATTCTTCTACAGTCTTCCTTGTTCATTGTTCAACATTCACATACATATGAAGATATTGAAAATATCATGCTTGGGTGAGGCACACTTTAGTTATAAAAGTGACAAATTTGCTCTTGAACACTTTAAAGCGGTCTTGGTGATTTGCATTAATGCAATACACCATTTGATTTCTTGACTGCTGCTTCCATGAGTGTTGATGGTGGTTCCAAACTAAATGAAGTCTTTGACAACTTCAATATTTTTTCCTTTTATTGATCCAGTGGCAAGGATTTTTGTTTTATTTTCATTTACGTGCAACCCATACTGAAGGATGTGACCTTTGTCTTCATTAGTAATTATTTTAAGTCCTCTTCGCTTTTAGCAACAAAGTTATATATATCATCTGCTATCATAGGTTGTTAATGAGTCTTCTTCCAATCCCAATGTCACATTCTTCTTCATATGACTCCGCTACTCAGATTATTTGCTCAGCATACAGACTGAATAAGTATGGGGAAGGAATACAAATGTAGCGCAAACCATTCCTAATTTTAAACCAGTCAGTGTCCTCACGTTCTGTTCGAATGACTGCCTCTTGTATAGGCACCTCAAGAGCACGAGTGTTCCAGAATACTCATTCTCCATAATATTGGTCATATCTTGTCATGATCTACACAGTCAAACGGCTTTGCATAGTTGTTGTTGTTAAGTGCAGCTGAGTCTGTTCCCATTCATAGATACTTGGTGTAGGATTTCTGATGAATGACAGGTGGGTTTGAACTGCTAACCTTACTCTTGAAACTGACTTTGAGGTCCAGTGCTTATCCTACAGTGCCACACAAGCATACTTAATACAGCACAAGTGGACATCTTTCTGGTATTCTCTGCTTTGGGGCAAGATCCATCTGACTTCAGTAATAGTATCATTCATTCTACAAGATCTGAAGCTGTCTTAAACCTCTGGAAGTTCTCTGTCATTGTACTGTTGCAGTTGTTTTTGAATTACTGTTAAAAAAATTTTTGTTTGTATGTATATTAATGACACTGTTCAATGATTTACACATTCCATTGGATCACCTCTCTTGGAACGGGCACAAATATAGATCTCTCCTAATCAGTTAGCCAGGTAGCTCTGTCTTACAAATTTCTTTGTATAGGTGAGTAAGTGCCTCTAGTGCTGCATCAGTTTGTTGAAATATTTACATATGTATTCCAGCAATTTCCAGAACCTAGTTCTTTGTCAATGCTTTCAGTGCACTGTGGACTTCTTTCTTCAATACCACTGGCTCTGGATAATATGCTATCTCTTGGAACGGTTAAACATTGACCATTTCTTTTTTGGTATAGGGACTCTGTGTATTCCTTCCATCTTTCTCTGATGATTTCTACATTATTCAACATTTTGTCCATAATCCTTCATTATTGTAAATCAAAACTTGAATTTTTGCTTCTGTTCTTTCAACGTGAAGAATACTGAGTATGTTCTTCCTTTCTGGTTTTCTAACTACAGGTTTTTACATATTTCATTTTAATGTTTGACTTCTTCTTGAGCTGCCTTTTGAAGATGTCTGTTCAGCTCTTCTACCTCCTCATTTCTTCCATTCACTTTGGCATCTCTATGCTGCAGAGCAAGCTTCAGAGTCTCTTCTGACATCCATTTTGGTATTTTCTGTTTTCCTTAATGACCATTTACTATTTTCCATTATGATATTCTTGATGTCATTCCACAGTCCTCTGGCCTTCACTCATTAGTGTCTATTGCATGAAGTCTCTTCTTGACATGCTCTCTAAATTCATTTAGGATATGTTCAAAGTCACATATTGACTTTCATGTATTAGTTTTAATTTTCTTCTGCTTCAGCTGAATTCAATGGAGCATTTAATGATCTGTTCCACAGTTAGTCCCTGATTATATGCAACTTTTCCACCTTCTCTTTCCACAGATGTAGTCTGTTCACTTTCTATGTATGCCATCTGGTGTGGTCTGTCTGTATAGACACCTTTTACGTTGGTTAAAAAAGGCATTTGTAATGAAGAAATCATTGGTCTTCCCAAATTCTATCATGTGATCCCCAGCATCATTTCTATCACCAAGGCCATATTTTCCAACTACTAATGCTTCCTCTTTGTTTCCAAGCTTTGCATTCTAGTAAACAGTAATTATCAGTGCATGTTGATAGCATATTTGATCAATATTGGACCGAAGAAGTTGATAGAAATCTTCAATTTCATCATCACTGGCTTTAGTGGTTGGTTCATAAATTTTAATAATAATGATATTAAGTTGTTTGTCGTGTAGGCTTATGGATATTTTCCTCTCACAGACAGCATTATACTTCACGATAGATCTTTAAATGTTCTTTTTAATGATGAATGTGATGCCATTCCTCTTCAATTTGGCACTCCCTGCATAGTAAACCATGTGATTGTCACATTCAAAATGGTCAGTACGAGTACATTTTTAGCTCGCTAAGGCCTAGAATATTGATGTTTATTTATGCATTCCATTTCAATTTTGACAACTTCCAATTTTCCTAGATTCATACTTTGTGAATTGCATTGTCAGAATATTAATGAATGTTTGCAGCTGTTTCTCCTAATTTTGAGTTGTGCCCCATCAGCAAATGCAATCCTGAAAGTTTTATTCCATTTACATCATTATGGTCAGCTCTACTTGGAGTATGCATCTCTTCCCCAGTTGTATTGTGAGTGCCTTCCAACCTGAGGAGCTTATCTTCTGGCACTATATCTGATAATATTCTGGTGATATTTATTTATCATATTTTAATATTAAATATTCTGGTGCTGATAGTGTTCCGCTGTTATTCATAAGGTTTTCAATGACTAAATATTTGGGAGAAGTCTGACTTTCGTAATTACTAGTCTTAGTCTGGAAGCTCAGGTGAAACATGTCCAGAATGGGTAGCCCTGCTGTTATTTAGAATGTTGGTGGCATCAGTTCCAACATCAAACTGACAGAAAAGTGGTGAAATCAAAAACTTAGATTCATGGATATTTTAGATAATAAAGTGGTGACTTGCAATCTCAAATTACTCATCAAGAAAACTGAAATTCTGAAAGGAGGACACTTAAAGTGTTCCTAGGTACATAGCTAACTTACTGATTGTTTAAAGAATTTCTTTATGATTATATTTGTTCTTTTGTTGTTTATGAACTATTACATGAAAATTATCTTTTTTTCTTATAACCTTCTCAGTTAGCATTGAGCACTACAAACCCACAATTAAAAAAAAGTTTCAAAGGGATGATCTTTGGAAATAGGCAAGAAAGCATAAAAGAATAAATGTGCTGTGCTGCTAATGCAAACCAATCTCTTCTACATTCCCTAGTGATCTAAGTGAGTGACATAACGAAGATTAAGTCACATGTCTCAAGTTCTTTGGAAATCTTGGGTGGAGATACATGAGTAAATAAGGATTAGAGTGTCACTCCATCATCACCCATGCATAATTTTGTCTTGAGTGCCTCACATCTAAAATGTTTAATGTATGTCAGCAAAGCTTGCATATCTCTGGGCCACAGAGCTGAAAAAATGAGAAAAGGAATTCTTGTTCCTTAACTCCCAGGGATTGTTGGAATGAATGAATTAATGTTTATAAAGAATCCCAAGTGCCTTTGAAAAAATTACTGTTTAAATATGAAGTGAAATGATTTGATTTCTTGAATCATTTGCTAGCCTGGGGAGTATTGCTATTAGTTAAGTAAGTCATTAAGATACAAATTTATTTATAGTAGGTTTATTTAATAAAAAGCTAAAAATGCTTCTCTTAATATATATAGAACAAAATTGTTTCCTGACTGCTGTAGAAGAGTTGTGAATATTCAGGAGAAATCATGTAGTCAGCTCGTGATTAATGCAAACTTTCATTCTATCTTTTCTACCTTGCAAAGCACTGAGGATTTAGAAGCTAATTCTCTGTATTTTATAATTTGGAAAGTAGTATTGATTAGGTTTTATGGAAAAATGATATAAATTCATTATTTATATAAACCTTCTTATTCTCCTTGGGAGCACAGTGACTCTGTAGGATAAGGGCTAGGCTATAAACCACAAGGTCTGCTGTGAGAGTCCACCAGCCACTCTGTAGGAGAAAGATGAGGTTTCTGCTTCTACAAATATCTACAGCCTCTAAAACCCTATACAGGGTTGATAGGAGTCAGAAGCAACTCAATGGCACTTAAAAACAATATAAAAATAGTAGAAGATATCAGCTTGAAGACTAAGGTGCGCCTGATCCAACATGGCATTTTCAATAACCTCATATGCATGAAAAAAAGCTGGACAGTGAATAAGGAAGACCAAAGAGAAATTGATGTTTTGAGTTATGGTGTTGGAGGAGAATATTGAAAGTGCCATGGGCTGCCAAAAGAACCAACAGATCTGTGCTGGATGAAGTGCAGCCAGAGTGTTCCTTGGAGGCCAGGATGGCCAAACTTCGTCTCTCATACTTCAGACATATTGTCAGAAGGAGGATATCATGTTTGGTAGGGTGAGATGGATTGGCAAAGTGGCAGCATCAATTGGCTCAAGCGTCACAATGAGGTTGGCCCATGATCGAGCAATGTTTCGTTCTATTGTGTATAAGGTTGCTATGAGTCGGTACTGACTTGATGGCACCTAACAACAACAACAGGGAATGGTACAGTTCAATCTTTAAACAATGGAAAATTTTCTCAAGTTATAAGGAATAATCTTGCTATAAGATTTTACTTAAAATGACCTCACATAAAAAGATTTTATAAAATGAGAATGATAATGTCTTTTATCTTAATATTGAAAGGAAGTTATTTCTATTAATATTGAATTAATAGTGTGAACATTTTACACACACACACACACACACACACACACACACACACAACAAAACTCCTAGGGTTTTTCACAAGATGTATTTGTTTCACAGTAAGTTAAAAAAAACTTCCAGAAATCATTTTCCTCTCAGTTTTCAAAATGTACTCAATAGCTATTCTTAGACTACTTATTTAGATCTGTCTAAAGGAGCAGCCTATCTTCACAAGAGAAATTAGGGCCTTCTATCCCTGATGTAGGAACTCTGGTAGCGTAGTGGTTACGAACCGGGTTGCGAACCTTAAGGTCAGCGGTTCGAAACTACCAGCCGCTCCACGGGAGAAAGATGAGGCTTTCTACTCCCATAAGGATTTATATCCTCGGAAACCCTGTACAGGGTCGCTATTGGTCGGAACCGACTCGACGGCACTTAACAACAACAACAACAACAACATCCCTGATGTGGTACTATAGGGTAATGCACTGGACTGCAAGGTCAGTTTAAACTGCAAAGTTGATGGTTCAATCCCACCAGTCACTCCTCGGAAACCCTATACAGGGTCGTTATGGCTCAGAAGCAACTTGACAGCACCTAACAACAACAAGCCCACTCCTGTACACTGTTATAGGCAGTAGCTATTTGTTCTTCTGGTCTACCTGTCCCTTCCTCCTCAGCACTCATACCATACCTTCCTAATGTCATCTCTTCCCCTTTGCCTACTGACTCACCGAGTCCATTGAAACTGGCCTCATTCTTTGCTTTATTTTCCAACTACCTATTCTTCTCCTATCTTAGGGCAATGCACTGGATGTTCCTGAATGCTCTATCCCTAGACATCTGTATGACTAGCTCTCTCACTATCTTCAGGTCTTTGCTTAAATGGCCCTTACCCTAAATTTTTAAATTGCAACATCCCCAAGTCCACACCCTCCCATAACTACAAGCATTCCTCACACCAATTAACTTGCACTATTTTTTTCTCCAAGTCACAGTGTGGTACAAAGAGTTAAAATACTCAGATGCCAACTCAAAGGTTGGAGGTATCTTGGAAGAAAGGCCTGTGATCTGCTTCTGAAAACTGGGCCATTGAAAACTCTATGGAACACAGATTCACTCTGACACATAGAAGGTCCCCATGAGTCAGAATCAACACAATGGAAACCAATTTTAGTTTTTTACCCTGACGTCAACAAAGATTAAGCTTTAGGCCCTTAAATTTAAAAGGCGCCCTTCTAAAAGGCTTACTACCTAATATCGTGTTCATAAATCTTACATTCTTTGTCTTAGCAAAGGATCTCAAATTATATAAATTTCATATCCTATAAAACTTGAATCTACCCTTGGGTATATTCTAGAACTTACTGTATTATCAAGTTAAACCTATTATATTTTGGCCATCTCTATCAATTATAATATAAACTTCCAGAGGGCATAGGTCTGTGTCTAATGTAACCACAGCTTTATCTCAAGACCTCGTATGGCACTTAGGGTAAAGCACTGGACTGTAAGGTCAGTTTGAACTGCAAGGTTGGCAGTTCAAACTCACCAGCTGCCCCTCGGAAACCCTATACAAGATTGCTGTAAGTTGGAACCAACTAGACAGCACTTAACAACAACAACAACATATCTCAAAATGGAGACTTGATGTGGTGCTGTAGGATAAGCAGTGAACTGCTAACTTCAGGCTCCAACCCACTAGCCACTCCTTAGATATATGAGTTGGAACTGACTCAACAGCACTTAACAACAACAACATATCTCAAGATAGTAGTCCTGGTGGCACAGTGATTAAATGCTTGACTATAAACTGAAAGATCTAGAGTTTGAATCCACTAGCCTCTCCATAGTAAGAAGATATGCCGACCTAGCCTCATAAAGGTCACATTCTTAAAACCCTCTGGAGTGACTCTACTTTGTCCCATGGGTCACTATAACTTGGAATCAACTTAATGGCAGTGGGTTCCGTTTATTATTGTTGTTATTATCCCAAGACTATGGAACAAATAACTAAGAATTTCACAGGAAAAAATGCATTAAGATGATTACCTATTTGCATTCAGATTCTTAATGGTATAAAGAAACATTTACATACTTTAAATACTGGTCTACTCCAAGTGTTACTCCATTTCTGACAAAGCTCAAAGTAAAAGGCAAAAGACTCTCAACAGAGCAGGAAATTCGGCCTGGCTGCAAGTAGTATCCTGGTGTTTTCTTAGGCATCATAACTTTGGGTGCATCTAGGAAAGAAAGAACATGAGAATTAAAAAAACACAAAATTATTGAGTATTTCCTGTTGATATGTTCATAACTCTTATAGCTAAATTATGCCAAGAAAGCCTCTGCATCCCAATTAATCCAAATCCCTAAACATCCATTAATTTCCTTTATTACTTTAAAGCACATTAATTTCTGAATAGCTTCCTGAATATTCATTTTATTTAGTATGAAGTGAATGTTAGGCTCCACTGATTTTAATACACATTATTTTATGTACTACCAAAACAAGGGGGAAATCTTGCCAAATAAATTACAATACATTGCAAGGCCTTTTAATTTTAAAAAAGTAAAAACATCAAAATAAATCAGCGCAGTTATACATAAGGTAATTGTTTCCCCAAAAGGAACAGAATAGACTTTCTTTAATAAAATATATCTTGTAACATTGAAATTGGGTGGTAAGCTAACAAACATTGACTATTGTACATGAGAAAATACTGAGGTTGGCTCTACTCTCACCATTCCACAACATTTCGTAACAACTATGTTGTTGATAAGTGCCACTGTGTCAGTTCCAACCCATAGAGACCCTGTATAGGGCTTCCGAGCAGTGGCTGGTGAGCTTGAACCACTAACCTTGTGGTTTAAACCAGTTTTGCAGTCCAGCATATTAATCCACAGCAACACACCAGGACTTGAACAATTATAGAAGTTTTCAAATCACAAGTATGGTTATAAAATGATAAAGTTGTTCCTCCACCCAACAGAACAATTTTAGAAAATAAATAATTCTCTATACCTTTGTTAGTAAATGACTCAAAGTTCTAAAGTTCTGGTTAGAGTTAAGCCATTAACCATGAGAAACTGCTCAAATATAGTTGATGCCTTGAAATAATCCCTAACCTGTGATTTATCTCTATTTAGTCCTGGTGTGTGGCGCGGTGGGTTAATGCGCCAGAATGCAAAGCCGTTTAAACTGCAAGGTCAGCGGTTCAAGCTCACCAGCTGCTCCTCAGAAACCCTATACAGGGTCGCTATGGGTTGGAATCAACTCGACAACACTTAACAACAATAGTCCTGGTGTGGCATTGTGGGGATAAAGCACTCGACCACAAGATCAGTAGTTCAAACTCACCAGCTACTCTTTGGAAATGCTATG